TTGAGGATGACCAGGCTTGTGTTTTGGTACAGAAAGCAACTGCTCAGGAGGAACAGAGGCTGCCCCACCCTGCAGTCCCAGCTTCTGACATTGCTGCTGGAGGGCTTTTTCTCTTTGCGTTAGCTTCCGACTCTTATTCACAGTGTGGGGGCGATGCTGCTGCTGCTGCTCCTCCAAGGGTTCATATAAATCTATCAATGGATGAGAGGGAGAAACAGGATTAAAACCAAATCTGAAGATCAGAGACAGACTCTGTGAATTAGCTTTTCTGGGCAAGCAAACTGGTGCAAAACCAACATAAGGAAAGGACATGCCAGTGTCTCAAGGGAAAACAATATGGAAGAAAAACCCGGGAACCTGGAAATGTTTTGTTAGCCTAAGAATCAAGAGTTTAGAGGATCTGAGCATCCAAAACAAGGAGAGGGAGGAATAGGGGGTGTGGACTGTGGGACTAAAGGAAGAACCTTAGATACGAGTGAGGAAACTCTTGGGGGAAACACAGAGAGATGGATGTAGGGCTAAAGAAGGGTACCAGGCACTGGTGGGCAAACCGGGGGTTTATAAAGAGAAGAACAGGGGAAGAACAAGATGACAGATGGGCAAAAAGGAGGTTGGCAACATGAGTGGGGTAGCAGACAGACAGATGTGGGTGCAGGACAAAGGACCAGAGAGTTTGGAAATGTGACAGAGAGGTTGCAGGTGGAGAGACAGAGGGGCTGGATCACAGACTGAGGGGAGCAGTGAGAGCTGGGGCCTGGACAGGAAGGGCCGAGGGACTGGCTGGGGGAAACGAGGGGCTGCCTGGAGGAGCTGAGGTGTTTGACGCGGGGTTGAGCTGAGGGGTTGGCTAGAGGCGTGGATGTAGGGGGCTGAGGGGCTGAATAAGGAAGCCGAGGTTGACCGATGAGGAGACGAAAGTGAGGGCCAAAGGGGTGGGAAGCCACGCGGAGGATGGCAAGGCGGAGGAAAAGGATGTGGAGGGCTGAGGGGGCTGCCTAGACAGGCCGGGGTGGACGGGTATGCTGCGGGGATGGCTGGAGGTGTCCACAGGGGGGCTGAGGGAACGGACGGACGGAGGTGCAGATGCGGGGAGTGACGGGGTA